CCTCCCCTAATCCTCCTGGTATCTCTACTCTCCTTGTTGGCCCAGAGGGGTTTATCTATCCTGGATTCCCTGTGTTGTGCTCTGGTCTAATCCAATTTATAAGGAAGAATTGAGGTCAATTCCCATTTTTTTTAAAAAGAGATTCATAATTGGCCTGTTTAAGACTACCTTTACAAGTAACTATACTTTGCAGTAAATGAAAATTTAAGAAGCAATTTTAAATTGGGCTGCATGTTGGACTGGCTTTTGTTTGATGTTGATCTATCTGCTGTTACTCACAAACTTCTCACTCTTGTTCAAGAACACAAACTCTTGTTCCAAGTAAACTATGATTGGAAGAAATCGCTTACCGATAAGCTATATCTCCTCCGTGGGTGATTACAATCTCTTACCAAAAACCACACAGCAGTTAGAATGTCTTGTAAAAATCTTAAGAATAAGCTCCCATGACTTTAGATTTGCTCCTCTTTATGGGGGGATACCAGAACAAAAATATAAAACCAACTATAAAGCATGTATTTTAGGCCTTTTGTGGTTAAAAGAACTTAGAGATGCCGTGTTCACTATTTTTGTACTAAAGAAGTTTTCAAATCCACAGTTCCAGACTGTGGTGCTGAGGAAATATAGTTAATATGACATAATTGCTTCCAAACCCAACTCTAAAGGAATGTTAGAGTTACTGCTTACGTGGCATCCTGGAAAATGTCTCTTGTAAGCGTGCTGCGAGCAAGGCCTGCTTTAGAATGATTACAGAGGGTGGGGTGCTGAGCTCTGCTGATGGTTTGGTGTATTTCTAGTTGTCTCTATTAAATAAAGTAGAAAAACTAGTGTTGTAGTCCTTTGGTTTTATTTTCTTGGATAAAAACACACGTAGGCATAAATGTTTTAAACAGTCTTCTTGAAGATATCCTTAAAAATAATGTATCAAATGACTTATTTTCATGGTTCTTGATTATTTGTATTTATAAATGTCGCCATCAGCCATGATTACTTAGTTGAAAATTGCAGAGCAGAATAAGTAGCATTTGTGAATGTTTCTCAATCCCTGAGAATCATAATCTTCACAGAAAGTTTTTCTCATTTCATCATAAGTCTCTGGAAAGTAGATGTGTTCTCTCATTGTTAACTGAACTAGGAGCAGTGTCATAGAGAGTTAAACCTTGTAAACTGACTTCCACCCGCAAAGAAATTTTCTGGAAAAGAAAAGAAAATTAGATATAGAGACTTGCTCCTTGAGAACAGATCTTTGCTGTGTTCTGCATACCATCTTTCGCAATCATAAATGTGAGTCAATTCTAAAGGAAACACAAGTAAGAAGGCTGCTGCACTGTCAGGGGTATCCTCTTCAGGAACAAGGGATCTGGAACACAACTTTTTTTTGATTCACCAAGTTTCTCTTTCCCCTTTGGTTTTCAGTAGCAATCAGCAAATCATAAAATTGAGAACAGCCTTTATAAAAAGAGCTGAGTTGATGTAAAAACAATGTGGATTTCTTCAAACTGATTTGTTTTACAAGCCTGTTTTCATGCCCGAACCTTGCCAGCAACACACGACTTCTCTCAAAACCAGACACAACACCTGGCGTCACCACTCACCATGCCACGTTTGATACAAAATTACTTTTTGAAAGGGTTGGCTTATGGAAGATTCTCTTGCTCCACCTTACGGAGCTTTGACAGCATCAATTTGTGTGTTCTTACCTGAAAATCACGAATGTAGGTCAGGAAGAAGCCGAAGAAGGAAAGTGACATGGACCATTCTGCTGCCGTGGTGATCAAGTGAAGCGCATAACCCTTTGAGTGATGGGGCAGGGGAGGGGGGAAGGGGAGGAAAAGTTCTGTGAGATTTCATTCAAATTATCTTGAATTTCTCTCCAATAAAAAACCTCAAAATTCTTAGACACTGCTCTGTCTTCGAAAAGTCAGCCTTGTGGTTTACCCATTGTAGCTCAAGAAAAGGAAGGAAGAGAAGAAAGCCCCACGTGATACCAGCTATGCTGGGGTTTCATCTAGAGCAGCGCTTCCCAAAGGGGATGCTGTTGCCCCTGGGGGACGCTGAGAGGGTCCAGGGGGCTGCAAAAGCAGACATCTCTACTTTGTCCTCGATAACAGGCTACAGTGGCCACGCTTTCAATTGCTCAGGGAGGAAGGTGTGCTGAGTTGTTTGTTGTTGTCTTTTCTGGAAGAGGGGGCGGTAGGCCAGCTGAGTTTGAGAACCAATGATCTAGAGCAGGGGTGTCAAACTCAATTAAAATGAGCAACTTTGATTTTGTGATTTTACTTGTCTTCAGTAGTTAAAGGGTTAACGAGGGAACTGTGTGCACGGTATTGCCTCGATCTCCCCTGAGCGCTATTTTCTTCATAACAATTTTTTCTATTTTCATTTTATTTCAGAGTATCATGGACCACAAAAAATTACCTCTGTGGCCCACAGGCTGCCAGTTTGACACTCCTAATCTAGAGTAAATGGCAGGAGATATACTACTCTATAATCAAGGAGGTATTGCCTTCCGAAATCCGGTGTTAATATGATGCCAGTAACAGGTAAATGATGCTCATGATAAATGTAGTAACTGCTCTTTTAAAAATAGTAAATAATTAGGGATTTAAAATGAAAAGAATATACTACCTTATTTCATCATTTATCCTAACAAAGATGTCCTACTCGGGGCTGATTCTTAAAAGATGATCTGAAATAGACTGCCTCCCGTCAGGAAATAATGCTTAACATTACTTAGGTAGAGGAGACCACACCCAGTACTGTATTCATAACTGGACACTTTTGACCTTGTTTCGATCCAGCCTTTGGTGACCCGTGCCAGGTCCTATCCATTGCAGGGCCTAGAGTCTTTGGTCTTGCAGGAGCACAACATCCTTCACAGGCCACACCAGCAGGGTTCAATGGGAAACTCCACTAAGTGAACAGGTTTTACCTCAAACTCACCTGGAGAAGATTTTAAAAACCAACATACTCCCTTGGATCCAAGGTTGAAACACCCTACTATGAGAATAAGCAGAGGGCTGATATCCCAAGATTATGGAATTGCTGGTTGGTGAACTTTGGTTTGAGGGTATCCAATGAATGGTGATCCACGACTATCATATATTTACTATTTTAAAACCTTCCTTGCCTCCTTATGTCATGTATTAATCTGGTAAACATGGTTTGGCCTATGTGAGTGAGTGTCATTGATTCCCCCTATCACCCACCCTCACTGTTTGGGTGAATAGTGTCCAGTCCCTTAAGAGTTTATTCTGAATAAGTCAACAATTCATGTATTGTGGTCAGAAACCAGCCTATACAGGCATAATGTCCTTTTCTCAAAAATGTTTTAAATTCTATACCAATGGCAAAATTAATGACACTATCATAGAGGAGGAGATTAAGGAGACATGATGGATGACTAAATGCAACTGGCTTCTTGGATTTTCTATTGTAACAGAGTAAAAGGCATTATGAAAAAAATTGAGGAATCCAAATAAAGTCTGTGGTTGGGTGAATAGTATTGTATCAATGTGACTCAGTTTTGTCAAATGTGCCACGCTTGCTTAGAGGGTAGGAGCCTTGGTGGCGCAGTGGTTATGCATTGGGCTGCAATCCATATGGTCAGCAGTTTGAAACCATCAGTTGCTCCATGGGAGAAAGATGGGCTTTCTACTCCAGTCTCAGAAACCCACAGAGGCAGTTCTACTTGGTCCTATAGGGTCGCTATGAGTCAGCACTGACTTGAAAGCAGTGAGTGAGTATAAGTGGGATCAACAGAATTACTTTACGCCCCAAGGGGATCATTTATAATGTTCTCTATCGTAAAATGGTAATGATTAGCTCTAAAGTCAACCAGAGACGCACATAAACCATTGATATATGAATTGATTTGGGGCTCATGCTTAATTCTAGCCCCAATCTACGGGCAATTAGTACTTATGACATGGTCCTGCTCAATGTTGCTTTCATGAAGATGTCACGGAAGATATGGGTACTAGAACAAAGTGTGAAGAAATCAGGTAATGCCCAGCAATCAGAAAGAATAGTGCCTGGGGTCTTAAAGGATTGTCTTCAACAAGCAGCCATCCAAATAAGGCATCAACCACGTCCACATGGAAGAAGCACATCAGCCTTTGTGACCTAAGGATTATAGATAACAAAATCCAAATCCGAAAGAGGGAATAATATCAGAGCTTAAATTGTGAACACTTGGTTCGCAGAAGGCTCGATGGCAGTAGAAGCCCAAAACCTATTTGCAGGGTCCCCATAGGAATGAAGCCTCTGACGAATCCCTTCTGATCACAGTCCAGGGAGATGAATAGCCTGACCATCAGGCAGAGACACTGTAAAGTCGACTTTGGCAAATATAGTTAAGTTAAAGTGCAATACCACTGGATTTCCCTTTTGACCCTTTGGAAAGTAGTTTCAGTTTTTAATATATTATGCTTTCTTTTAGAATGAGGTCTTTTCTATGTTTTGTCTAGTCATTTTGGTTGAGTTTTTTGTTTCTTTGCATTTCGTATGATTTTTGTGTGTGTATGAAACCCAGGATAGGTAAATCTATAGAGACAGTAACTGGATGGATAATTGCCTCGGGACATGGTAGGGAAGGATGGGAGAAAATGGGGAGTTAGACAATGAGTAAAGAAGAAAATGTTTTCAAATTGATTGTGGTGATGGCTGCACAAACCTTTCACATATAATATTGAATGAACAAATTATATGATATGTGAAACATATCCCAATAAAAATGTAAATTAAAAAAATAAAATATTTTTCCTTTTGTAAAAAAAAAAAGAATGCCATTCATTGATTAGTAAAAACAATGGGACTCGTTTTACTATCTGTCTCTCCTCTTTTTTTTCAGATGAAAGATACTCTCTCCACTCTTGTATCTGCTTATATTAGGATTACTAACCCAAATTCATTAATAAACTTCTGGATAACAAAATGTAGAACACATATTTTCAACACAGAAAATAAGTATTCTGATAATAAAATTTCTCAACTGGGTATATTATATATTAAATCTACATTTAGGGATGTCAGTCCTGAGAAAATTCTTGGTCTTCACCATTCTGTTTTATGCCTTGAAAATATCTACTGATTATAGTTAACAAGAGAGCATACACAAGCACTATCATGTCTAGAAAATAGTCCCAATACGTGACTGAAATTTTACTAAAAAAATTTCAATGTTGAAATGAAACAAATATCAAAATCCATTGAAATATTCATCTGTAACATAAAACTGTGTTTTATAAACTCTAAGTTCTTACTTTGTCCTCAGGATTCCAGTGGAGTTTCTGTACCACATCAGAGCCAAAACTGCCACTGTACAAAAGTGCTGAGCAAGTTAGCACTATAAAGAAATGTCAAGGAAAAAAATCTCAGAGATGATCTGTAAATTTCAATTAGATTCAAAGGGAAAAAACATTAAAGATCTTTAAGGATTACTCATACATTTATTATGAAGATCCAAACCAATTTTCTAAAATACATATTACAAGTAGCTTGTAAAATTAAAAATATACCCAGAAGATCACTACAAAATAATTCTTACAGTCAACTCCCTCCTCCTTGTTCAGTAAATTAGCAATTCTATCATAAGCCCTGGCAGATAATTGTTCTCCGGCAGGGCATTAAGTCATTCTTCATTTCCGTAAATATTTCTAGGATATTGCTATGCTCAGCTGAGTATTACTGAATTACTGGTTAGTTACTAAAGGCTAATGCACAACTTGAATTCTGTGTTACAAATCATTTAATTTAGGACTACGAACCCAAGAATCCCAGTTACTTTATTTTCTGTTCCCATTCTTCCTCCTTTTGTAACTCTTCTGAACTTTGTTCTTGGGTAAATACTGTCCTTTTGATCTCAAATGGCTGATAGCTAAACTTAGAGATCTGTTTGGCCAAAAACTGAACAAGGGAATAGAGTTCATTTCCAGACCTGAAGGGTGTAACTAACAGCCATAGTTTTGGAAGTTCCACCGTGCGTGAGTCTGGGCTTGATGATTCTGAGTTCCCCCCCACATGTCCCTGCCGCATCCTCCTCTCGATCCGGGACTTTCTTTTCCCCCCTGGTTTCCAGGTTTTTATTAGGAGGCCCAGTCATTATCGTCACCATCAGGGTTCACGGTTTCTTCCACCACTCTAGGCTGGAGCCCTGCAGGTCCTGCAGGTGGCTGGCATGTTGGACATGTTCCCATTATCTTGGAAGGGCACTGGGTGCCTGTAGGGGGTGGCCTTGTTGATCATGCTGGAGTACTTGATGTAGGGGCTTTATGGGGGCAGAATTATTGCGAGGCCCACGGCAGTGAAGGCCTGGAGCAGAACCGGCTCCTTAGCCCAGGCATTCTTGAAGAAGGTGGTGACTTTTGTTGTCATTTTGGCCTCGGCGACAGTGGTGACAAGGAAGTGGAGCCTATCCAGGGCTTTCTAATGTGATTCGTTTCCGAGCAATTGGTAGGGAAACCTGGCACCATCGAGTTCTTTCGGTCTGAGTCATGGAACCTAATGTTCACATACTCTGTTAGGCCACTGAACCAAATGTGTCCATGGTCTTCATCACTCTTCTTTCCTTCAGACTGAGCGGTACATAGCTACACTTCAGACAACTGCTCATGAGTTTTAAGACGTCAGTCCCTACCTACCCCGGTAAGATGTAGAATATTATCTTTGTGGACTATGTAAATCAATCTTGTTGTCCTCCAAGACCATGGTTTTGATCTCCTTGACACAGTAGCCCATTCCCGGAGGTTTTTTGGTGATGTCAAAGAAGTTTTCCTAACTTTGTTCCTGTCCATACGTAACCATATGCATGGGTACATTTGAAGGAATGGTAAATACACATGTACAAATATCCTCTAATATATATTTTTATATATAATAATTCTTGGGTCTACTGCCATTCTCCCTCCCACACATGTTCAGCTTCCATGTCTAAGCACCTACTCCAGTGGTTCTCAACCTTCCTAATGCCGGGACCCTTTAATACAGTTCCTCATGGTGTGGTGACCCCCCAAACATAGAATCATTTTCATTGTTACTTCATAACTGTCATTTTGCTACTGTTTTGAATCAGGTGACCCCTGTGAAAGGCTGGTTCAACCCCCAAAGGGGTCGTGACCTACAGGTTGAGAACTGCTCATCTACTCCGAGAATACCGCAACTGTGGAGTTGTATGTATCACAGTATTTACCTGTTACATTTGACACTTGCACTCCTCTCACGAGTTTTCCCCTGCCTCCATCATTTTCTCACTCTTCTTACAGCATACTGTCTTCACTTTTCCCACAGTTAACATGTGAATACTAGTCGAGCCAGTATTTTACTCTCCTTTCCCCTTCTGCTAACCATAAAGAATATTTCTTTACATGTGAAGAGCTTTTTAGATGTTTTCAAACTAGTGGTCTCAAATACGACTTGTCCTTTCGTGACTAACATCAAGAATGCTTACTTTAGTGTGTTTTCCATTCCCACCACGTGTAGCACCACTTTTTATAGCAAAGGATACTGCTACAAGCGCTGACGGCACACCAGACAACCAGCAGTAGTCTGACCCAGAACACTTGCTTGCCGTGAACCCTCGGCTGCATTTGGTAGGAAAGGATGGTCTGGACAAACATATACAAGGAGCCCAGCCCAAAGGCGAGGATAGCTCCACTTACATGTGCAGCAAAAAGGGTTGTTTTCTGAAAGATAAAAGGAGTAAACTGATCAATACAACGCAGAGCACATTAGCATCACAACCCTGAAAAGCTCTAGTAGAGGGTCTCTGCAGATTCTACAATCTCTGCTATTCACTTCCTGGAATAATTTTCTCTCAGGACACTGACTATAAAATCTGCCAACACAGAATAGGTGCCCAATACACATACTACCTAATCAGAGGAATACGTTGGTAGACGCTATCATGCTTCCTATAGTGGCATAGGAGATCATTTGGCTTTACTGTCATCATGGAGCTCTAGTGGCACTGGCACTGTCAGGTAAGTGTTGTACTACTAACTGCAAGGTCAGCAGTTCAAACCCACCTGCTACTCTTCAGGAGAAAGATGGGAGTTGTCTACTGCCATAAAGATTTTTAGCCTCAGAACAGTGTCTCTATATAAGTAGACATCAACTAGATGGCAATGGGTTTGGTTTGGGTTTATATCGTACCAGAAACCGTTTTATGTCCTTGGACACATTAGTGAACAAAACTGACAAAAACTTGGCCCACTTAAAGTTCCTTCTAGTGAGAACTACAAAATGATGTAAAATTAAATTACATAGTATGCTAGATGGTGCTAAAAGCTATAGAAAGTAAATAATTCAGGGTCAGAAGGATCAGTGTGGTTGAGAATGCTGGGGTAGGGAGTTACAATATAAATGTACAGCATTTAAGGCCTAAAGAAATTAAAACAGGAGGAGGAAGGGAGCACTAGAATGGATTGTGATTGCGTAACTAATTTTAAAGGTGATTTAACTATGGTGGGCGGGGCGGTGCTCTAAAATTGATGTGGTAATGCTTATACAATTCTCCTTGACATGATTGAACTATTGAATTGTATGATATGTAAACTATGTGCCAATAAAACTGTTGGGATAAAAAAGAAATTAAAACATTGCCCCTTCTGGTTTGATTTTGATATTTTATCAATTATACAATAAGGGTTGGCCATAAATGATGTTTTCACATTTACTTTACTCTTATCATATTCATTTGCATTTTGCTTTTTAATATTAAATACAGCCTCTGCTTACAAGTGACAAGTTATCTAAAAATTCTACAGTGGTTTTTGTAGTGAGGTCCCTGTCTTCCACTCGGTTGAAAAGGTACTGAATCTCCCTAACACAAAGGATTCTCAACGACTAAGATAACAAGACAGAGCTTAGGGCTTGGCTCCCTCCTTTAATGATTGAAACTCCAAATGCACTGCCACTGAGTCGAATCTGACTCAGGGTGACCCCACAGGGCGGGGCAGAAA